CGGAGGCTAATAGTGTCAAAGGCCTGATTAACTTACTTACTCGACAGCCCTCTCTTGACCAGTGAAGATCTGAATAAACATTAGCACAGTTTCTAACAGTGCTAGACCACATCCTCAGAATGACCCCGGCCCTCCTTAGAGTGCTTGCCTGTGCAGACTCAAGGCTGCTCCCAAAGACATTGTTCTGCCAACAGAACAGAAGGGCCTCTGTCTCCCAGTGTCTGTGGGAGGATAGAGTCTTCAGTAATTGCTAGCTAGCAGACACGCTGGCCTAATTGATTTACACTGACTTACCCTTATAATTTTTCACTTCCCTGACTCCCCACTTGTTCTCTTAACTCCCTCAGCTCCCTGTGAAGCACCCAGTTACTTCTCTGGTGAGTTTAGTTTGAACTGAACTCTCTATCCTATGCAGTGTTATTACTGATTAAAAAGCACCCTGACCACTAAAGTAGTGTCGAGCTGCTTAAATTTTGCTTATCTTTGAAAGGCATACCTTTGGTCTGGTTCCCAGGACTGGATTTAACATGTGAGAAAGCAGTAAGTAAGAGGTGTGTTGGACTGTTAGCATGAATGATCTCAGAGGAGCAGATGCCATGTGTGTCCTGTTAGCAGTAGTCACTGCTTACTTTAAAGTGCCCGGTGGGAACAAACACAGCTGGTGTCCAAAGCGGGTGTCAGAGGGGACAGAGAGGAGGCAGGTGGACCTATGGCTTGGGCCTCTAGCGCTTGTCCTGGGTTCTGTCCCGAGTCAGCCTTCCCACCTGAAACATGCCAGTCTCCTTCAGCAGACGCTAACAGAGGCATATCCGGAACTGAGACTTACTCGGGAACAATCCCTGCTACTGTCCTTCCTCCCACTGACAGAAGGGCCTTTCCCAGGCACAGATGCTATGATTTTCACATTAGGAACTACATGCTTCATTTTGGTGCCATTATCCTTCCAGCCTCTCGCCTGGCTCCTTTTCCCCCACTCAGACCCCATGGAGAGCCTCCATCATTTGTACCCCTCCTTGATGAAGCCTTAGGAAGTGCATTTTGAGTGGATGGAGGGAATGTACTCCTGGCCAGTATGTTATGTTAGACTGTGGAACACTTTTTTTTTTTTTTAAGATTTATTTATTTATGCTTTCAGAACTGGGATACAGGCCAGAGGTGTGGTGGGTGAGAGGATTCACCAGAAACAGAGTAGGGAGCAGAACAGACAGATCTACTGAAACACACCGCTGAGAGAAGCAGCGGGGTGGGTCAGGAGAGGTCTGCCACGCCATGTGGATCAGCTCCCTGGCCGGGGATCGAACTCATGCTGCAGTGGCTTAAGAGAGCTTCATAATGCAGTGCTTTAACACATTGAACCACCACGGAGAACCCTGTAGAGGACTTTTTTTTTTTTAATAACCATTGAAGCCAATATTAGATAAATACCATATACAGACATTAACAGAATAATTCAATAAATCTCAAAACCCTGCCAACTAGCTTTATCAAAGCTTAAATGGGTATATTTAAAATGCTTAATATTAGATTTACTAAAACCACAAGTGAAAACTCAATTCTTTAATTCCAGCTACCAGAACCCAGTTTTTCCTGCAGATAATTTTTAAATAATAAAATATTACAGCATACATTTTTGTGGTCCCATTCCCCATTTTCCCTTCAGAGATAACTTTAATTTTCAACTTGCTATTTATCCTTATTCACTATTTTTCTTTCTTTTGTGATCTGACCTAAGAACCAATATGAGTAATGATAGTATATTGACTGTCTCCAGTTCCATGTTGGGAGATGTGAGTGCATTATGTCATTTAATTCTACCTGCTCCTGTTTTCCATCTTCTCAGATGTTTTCCTCTCTTTAAAAATATTATGTTCTGGACCCTCTCTGGTGGTGCAGCAGGTTAAGATGCAGCACTGCAAGTGAGTTATAGTCACTTCAGTGTGAGTTTGATCCCCGGCCTCGGAGGTGCAGCACATCAATCTGCCTGTTCTGCTCCCTGCTCTGTCTCTGGTGAATTCTCTCACTGCCCCTGCACCTCTGGCCTGTACCCAGTTCTATATGCATAAGTAAATCAATCTTTGGGGAAAAAAATGTATCTTTTAAAAAGATATTGTTTTCCTATAAACATAGGAATTTCTTTACTCCAGTCTTCCTATTTAGAATTAATCAAGTGTTGCTCAGGTGGTGTAGTTTAGTTGCATTTCAGGTAACAAACATTTAGCGAGTACTTACTAATAGCCAGACATTGTGCCAGAATGGGGATACAGAAGCAAATATCTTGCAAACAAATACTTTATAGTGCTACAGAGAGATGGTCTTTCTGTTACTTTCTACTAAAATAAAGAGAAGTCTGGTCTGTAGAATTCTTCAGTGAACTAAAAATTTGGCCTTTCAAAATTTTTCAAGGTTACATTAAATTCTCAAAGTCATTCTGTATGTTCTTACATGCCTTAGTTTTATTTAACACAAAGCATGTGGAGTAGAACTGTTTGTGACTTGAGTGGCTACTCTCTATCATAGAAATCTTCACATCAAGTAGCCTTTAAGTCTCCTGTCCAGCCTCTCTCTTAAACATGAACCAAGGAAATATAAAACAAAAACCAGGCAAGTGACAAGGGGATTAAAAAAGTCTGTGGATTCTAATTACTCCAGGTTGGTGTGTCCTTAACAAATGATGTTCTTTGAAAGTCAATTTGGTGTTAAATAGAACATTCACTTCTGTAATACTGATCTTAACATTCCTAAATGCTAGCTCCAGTTTTCCTTCCCTTTCTCATTAATGGCCTGCTTTTGAGTCTAGCAGAGTTTTCAAAAGCCCTCTTAATCTAGCTTTTAGTTCATGTTTCAAAATGAGACAAGAAAAACTATTTTAGATTTTTAATGTAAACATACCCTGTATACAAATATATATAAATGTGTTTAAGATGGTGAAGGAGCCACAAAGCATAGTTATATTTGAATTTCAATGATAGGGTATATGCTTCAATTACTTGGTATTTGCTATACTTATTTGCTTGGAAAAGGTCATAACCTATTATTTGGGTTGGGGGGCGGGGGGCGGAGATGACCAAAATCAGTATGATCCTAATTTTGCATGAAAATATAGGTTATAGAATGGCAGTCTGACAGAAAATCATTGAAATGTTGGTACATGTTTTCTTAGCTGTGATTTATCAGCAACTCTGATAATATGTGTGTGTTTCCTACTTTTGAAACAAAAGCTAGCCAAGAAAGGATCTTTTTAGTTCTGTGAGGCTAATTAGCTAGCCTTTTCTGAGTGTTTTACTTACAAAATCCTCTAATTATCTCAACAAATTTATATTGTCAACCCCATCATCTCCACTTTGGAGATGGAAAAACCAAGTTCAAGAGAAGTTGTCTAACTTCCCCAATGTCATTCAGCTGAGGTCAAGATCTAAAAAGCAGGCTAGTGTTTTCTGGAGTTTGTGCTTTCACTGTATAATAAGAGTAAAAGAGCTGTGATGGCAAAAACAAAAATACATCTCCTTTTTTTCTGAAAACACATAAAGCATTATGCCTATTAACATGGGCTGTTGATGAGAGCTACCTCATGCTTCTATACTTCGGTAGTACTGGCATTGATCATGTAGAATGATGGTAAACTAATATTAGTTGTAATTAATATTACAATAGTTAATAATCAGTAGGATATGCTTGTGCAGTACATGCCTGAGACACAAGAGTGGGGGACTGTAGTACAGAACAGACCTGCTGGAGAAAACTAGAGAACAGATATTTACCTCTCCTATAGGTTCACCAACCATTTATGCTGCCATCCCTTTGATTCCAGAGATGTTTGAAGCTGAAGTCTCCATAAGGCCTTAGGATAAGATCCCATGGTTGGTTTCTCACCTTTCATTGCCTCTATGTGTTTTTAGGGAAAGAAATTCACCCTAGTAATTTTTAAATTCATCACAAATTTACTGAGCACCTAATATGGCCAGTTATTGTAACAGTAGTGGGGGTTGGCATGTGAAATTCAAACATGGTCTTTGAATTTCACTTTCTTTTTTTTCCTTTTTTTTTTTTTTAAGATTTATTTATTTATGCATACAGAACTGGGGTACAGGCCAAAGGTGCAGGGATGGTGAGAGGATTCACAGAGACAGAGTGGGGAGCAGAACAGGCAGATCAATGAAGTACACTGCTGAGGGGAGCAGTAGGCGTGTCAGGAGAGGTCTGCTGTGCCATGTGGGTCACCTCTGGGGCGGGTTCGAACTCACATTGCAGCAGCAGCGGCCAGCTTACAGTGCTGCTTCCTAACTGGTTGCACCACCAGGGAGGGCCACTGAGCTTTATTTGTATGTAAATATGCATGTCCACCCTAATTTCTGGAAGTCAGAAGCCTTATTTGGGGGGATATCAAAGAGTGTAATGCATATACTAATACAATACACAGTGTGAGTTGGTTCAGCTGTTTGACATTTAAAGGCATGCACATTTATATTAGAGTTCAAGGTTGATGTAAATTGTTCAGTGAACCTAGGTTGACATTGATATTCTGATTAATGCAAATAGCTACCATTATGTATCCTGTGGACATGGTTGGATGATCAACAGCACTTCAAAAGGAAGCCGGGAGTGTGAGGCACTAACCCCATTTCACCTTGAAAGGACCCACCTCGTCCTTTTGGGCATGTTCTCTCTTCACTTTGTAGACACTTGTCTAATTACTTTCTAGATCACTTTGCCTTGTTAAACACTGTGAACGTACGTTAGTAAATGCACACATTTATTTCTGTTATGCTGAAACTGCTTTGTGAATTGTATATACCTTTAGCACACTTCTAAGGAGTTGGTCCATAAGTAACAGGACACTTCATCCTGACCTGATCAAAGGTTGGAGATAAAGAGGTTTACTTGATTTTATATGGGAAGTCAGTGACAGAACTTGTGACTGTGGCCAAGAAGGGATGTGCCGTTACCAGGAAGTACTGCTGTTCTGCATGCGCCTTATATTGTTTGCTTTTTAATCCTAACAGGGAGATACCTCCTACCAAACCCCGTGGCGGGCCAGGCCTGGCCAGCCTCCGCAGAAACGTCAAACCTCGTGCGCATGCGCAGCCAAGCCTTGGGCCAGTCGGCGCCCTCGCTCACTGCCAGCCTGGTGAGTGCCCTTGGGTTATGTGTGCAGTGGGTGGGACTTTTCTTGACCTCCGTCTCCCTAGGGACGATTTCAGGTTTATGAAGTTTAGCTAGATTTCGACGTCACCGTTAACATTCAGAACAGATTTGGAAACGTCTTGCTTAGTGTGTACTAATTTTTTTCCAAGTTGTCCCAAACTTAACTCCCCCATTACCTAGTTTGGAATATTTCTGTCAAATTTAATCTGGCTCCATGCTTCCCCTAAAGAAATGCGATGTTTCTGCGCTTTTGTAAACAACTTCCTTAAAAATGATTAACAGAAAAATTGTTGAAAGTAATAAAATTACAATTCCAGTTTATCCATTACCTAGGTTGCTCTAATCTCTTGTTCAGTTTGATTTATCATTTGCTTCTCACTGTGTGTATATATGTACAGGTGGAGAGTAAGTTGTATATGTCATGTATAGAAGAGAGTAAGTTGTATATATCATGACCCTTTGTTATCATTGTTACCAAATAAAGTGATTATCTGCTATGTCTGAATTTTGTCAGTTGACTCAATAGTGTCCTTTACAGGGTTTTTCCTAACCCCAGAGTAGGATTCAGGCTAGAGCTGTGTGGCGCATTTAATTGTCATATCTCTTTAGTTTCTCTTAATCTAAAGCCATTTCTTTGACTTCTGTGACACTGACATTTTTGAAGACTGAATTCTTCCTTCCCTCCCCCAGTTTTTCAGTGGAAAATATCTCATATTATCTAGTTTAAATATGTTTGATGTTTTCCTTATGGTGAAATTAAGGTTTTTGTATGCAGGTCAGAATATGACATTGGCGATGTTAAATCCTCTCAGAGCAGGGCTTCTACTTGTCCTCTGCTCCTCTTTGTCCTGTTGTTTTCTCTCAGTCAAGGTGTTGCCTGAGTTTTCAGCACTGTCTGTATGTCTCTTTCTCTTGCAATCATTAATTAGTCGATGGGAAGATAATTTCAGACTTTGCATACATGTTTCTCTTCATCAAAATTTTGCCCTAGTTTTCAAATCCACTACATATTTTTGCCCTGACCCTTCTTTTCTATAATAACTGAAAATAGTCATTATTTTAACTCCAACCATTATTTTAATTTTTCTTCACATACACTGGTCGGCACAGCCCATAAATATTGGTATAGAGGTTAGCAGCAGGAACGCCTACATTATTTTTAAACTATGACACTTATTAGAATTTTGTTTTGGGGTTTTCTCTAAACTTTGGCACTAGAAGTCTGACAGGTTAGTTTTGTATTGGTGATAGGTTTTATGGTACTGCCTTTAAATATTTTTTACTGATGATGATAATGCAAATAATGCATAATCAGTACATTATGTTCTTTTGATTAGACTGTTAGTAAAAAACTATGTTGGCTTTTTGGGAATCATACAGGAAGGCTTAGAGAGATCTGATTTATATCTAACCATTGATTAAGTATAACATGGGCAAGTCACTTAATTTTTCAGGTTATATCATGTTATTTGCAAAGTGAAAAGAGGTTTTAAACAGCATTTAACTTTGGAATTCCCTTACTCTGTTTCTAGAATAATGAAGATTCTGAATGTATTGCGTAATTATCCCTAAAAAAAAAAAATTGTGGTATTTTATGACTTCATCATTGTCTATGATCTTTAAACAAAAAAATTCCTCTTTTCCTTTCTTTGAATATTGGGACTTAGTTTTAAAGGTACAGGCAAAGCGATAGTAGTTAACGTTTTCCCTCTGTCCCATCTTTTAAGTCCAAAGTGATGTTTTTTTCTTGGAGATTTTTATTAAAAACTTATTTTACTCTGAACATTTACTATTTAAGGAAAGAGGAATTAATGACTTTTAATTAAAATTAGTACTTAAGATAATTAGTGACCTTAAACAGAAGTCCTATTTGAGCTACTGTAATATTATTCTAAACACTTAAGTAGAAATACTGCATGTTGATTGGAAAGTAAATCATTCTGATTAAAATAACACTGTCACTAAGCAATATATCTTATTGTCTAATATTGGTAACCATATATCCAGACACAGAAACTTATTATTTATTGATCAAACACAAGTTGGATGACCTGTGATGTTTGGGAGTAGGATACACAAATCAGGAAATATTAATGGAAAATAAAAGAATACCATTCAGAATCTGTCAAGTGACATTCTTATCTAAGAGTCTGCTAAATTAGAAACTTATTTAAACTGCAAGTTTTTATGTTTTTACTGTTTGTTTATGAGCAAAACTAGAGAAAATATTGAAATTTTGTAGAGAGCAAAATGAATTTAGTACCTAAAAGAAAATCGTGCACTTCAGTCTTGAATACTAGCAGTATTACTACTTCTGTTATTGTAGTGTGGGTAAATTTGGGTATGGAAGCCAGAATGTGATTAACCACTTACTACTGAACAGTAAAGCTTTCATATTTAGCCCTTTTCTTATCTTTCCATTCAGCGGCTTCATTGCTTCCTACATGTAGTTTACAGAAAACCGTATTTAGACTCTTCAACCACACCTTCTGCCCCCAGCCTTCTGCAGTGTTAAGAGCAGTGGGGGGTGGAGGAGTACTGCTAGATGAGTGTTGTCTTGATTTTTCAATTGTTCTGCTGCATTGTCCAGATACCTGTGCCACATCTATTATTTCAGTTGTCACAGTTCGTGTCAGTGACTTTTCCATGCTAATGGTGTATTGCGTTATAATCTATTACATGTTTCTGCTGTTTTGGATTGGATTCCATATAAATTGCCTCTGCAGATTACAACTAGCAGATTTAATAGTGAATGGTACTGAAGAAGTAAAAGTACCTACCTATAAGAACTTGGTCTTTCCCTTTTTTTTTTTTTTTTTCTTTTTTGGCTTATAAACAAGCTGATACTGTTCATGCAGTAGAACAGACTTCACTCTGATTCTTGGCCACTGTCTTCGCGCTTACTGCCTCTGTCTTAGAGCTGTGCATGGCCATTTTCCTGATCATGATGTGCCTTTTCCCCCCTGTGTGGTTATGTCTAATATCCCCCCTGCTAGATTGCAAGCTCCTTGAGGGCAGAATTCCCTCCTGATCCATCTCCTCCTCATTGCTGCTTGCACAGCATCTTGCCTGTAGGAAGCATTCAATAAGTAATGTTGATGGAATGAGTAATTACTCATGGGATGAGACACATGACTTTGGTTGCTAGGCAAGAATAATGGCGTGTCTCTGTATTCTGTAATGGGTGGCCTAATAAGACCATCCATCTAAAATTCCTTTGGTTTTGCTGTTCTGTGTGCATCTTACATTTGTGATTAGACTTAAAGTCCATGTAATGGGCCAGATCCCATTTAGTTCCACATCAGCCACTCAAGAAACATGGGGGCAACATTGTGAAGAGATTATCAGTGTGCTCATTCAAGGAAATTTCATTAATCTGCTTTTAAGCAATCATGTAATCATATCACTTTAAATATTTTGTTGACTGATTGGCTGAGCACATTGAAGTGATATGTGTTCTAGTGTGGAAAGACTAGAAAGAAAAGAATGAAAGTGCCTGATGTTCAGATAACAGTGTTACATTTAATGCAACAGAATGTCATGTTCAACACAAAAGCATACATTTCAGAGGAGTAAAGATCCTTCACCTGAGAGGATTTCATGTTAGTAAGATATAAATGAAGGCTGTGTGGTTTGGTAGGTATGAATTTTAGTAAATGCATGACCTATAGTGATTTAAATGCCATAGGCAGGCTTGACGGTATTGCTAACTACCTTCTCAAGGAGGAGATTAATTCCTAGCCTGAAGTATCTAGTTTTCCTTGGCATTGCTAAATGTAGTTGTGTTCCCTCTTCCAGACATGTTGGGCATTTCAGATAAATGGCATGTTGCCAATTCATCCTAAGTAGCCTGGTAGCTGGCAGAATACATGCTCAGCCAGTGTCCGCCTGCTGGGCACCAGCCGGGAGTGCTGATGAAGTGTCAGATGTATACTTCATATACATTAATCTGAGGAGGGGAAAACTCATTTCCCCATTTGCTTCCTCCATCTTTCTGTCCCTCCCCGTACACATTGGTAGTTTATCAAAGAAGTCATAGTCGTCAAACGCAGGAGGATTTATACAGATGCTGCTTGCTGGCAAGAAAGATGGAAATTTCAGGAGGTAGAAACAGGGTCAGTGGTAACTTATTTTTCTGTAGGAAAATAAGGTTGTAAGCCTGATGATTAAAGTTTAGAAATGGTATATATAGAGGGCCATCATAAGAAATAGTCACTTCTTTAGAACTTTGGAGTAATAGATGGGTGGCAGAGCACGGGAGAATTCTTCTCCAGCCTGCTGTCTGGTTTCAGTCCTATGCCTCATCTGTTTTGTTGTGTCATGTCTTTGTTGCATTCTTTCATATTAACATCTTTCTTGATTACCCTGTTTGAAGTGGTTCTCTTCACTGCTTCCTCTGCTTGCCACACACCCAAGGTTCTTCATCTCCTCTTTTCTGAGGTTTATCTTCTTCCAATGTAACATAAATTGCTTAATTTACTATTTATATCTAATTACTCTAATGTAAAATTCTTGTTGGTGGAGGTAAGATTTTTTTTCCTGCTTTCCCAAGCTTAGAAAACTGCCTGGCATATAGTAGGTGCTCAGTGAAGATTTGTTCAAACAGTAAGTGCATATATTACCTATGTATGTTGCCAGTGACCTAGAATGGAGTCTTGTTTATTTTTTGTTTTTAATCTGTAATTTTTTTTAGGCTTTTATTACTTTGTCAAATCAAGTAGATGTTCTTCAGTCAGAGAGCACTTACCCCAGAAATTTGTATTCATGATTTAAACTATAATTGTTCAGATGGAAATGAGAGTGAGTGGGAAAAGCAGAGTCCTATAAGATTAACACCAGGTTCTGCTAGAAGCTTCAGTTTCTTCTATTGTGAGGTGGAGCTAGAGGTTGTTATACCCTCAGGAGGATATTGTAAGGATTAAATGAGTGAACTCTTGTTTGGTACTTTGCATGGTGCCTGTCACTCAAGACTTGATAGAATCA